CCCCAGCGGCCGTGCTGGCGGCAGCCCAGCTCGGCTGGGCGGGAGGTCGCTGGGATCCCCTGTAGCACTGCCAGTCCCCTACGGCGGCTGGGGAAACCTCACCGATGCGGCTGCCCGTGCTGCGGTCCGATCCGTCCCCTGGCCAGGGGCTTCGCCGTCCCCCCCCGGCGCTGGGACAAACGTGTGAGATCTTTTACAGGGAAGCTCAGCTCTGCCGTTTATGCCGACTGACCCATCTTCAGTGGGGACGCGTTGCTGCGCCGATGAATTTGTCCTTCCAGAAGTGGGGGCAGAAATACAGAGCGATATCTGTGAACTTGATATACGTCCTGAATCAAAGGGACAAACAAAAGAGCGATGAGCGTGGTGGCTGGGGGAAGCGCTCTGTAAATACTTCTCTGGGGGAGGTGACGCTTCTGATTTCTCAAACTGGTGCCCCTCTGAACGTCCCAGATGCAATGAGGACTGTGAACAAAGTAATCACGGAGGACCTGCAGCAATATGTGAAACTTTGGATTTCTTTGGCCTTGCCCTGTTTGAGGCCAGAGTGGGTGATGGTGCTGCTGTATTTGGCTCTACGAGTTGCTTTCAGTGCTGCAGAGCGTTTGCAGACTTGGCTGGACTTGAGGAGCGAGTTTTTCTCTTGGCTTGTCCCTTTTCTCAAAGGTAGTGATGGCCCGAGAGCTCTTGTTTTGATCTTGTCCCGCTTCTTACTCTGAAGAGTTTGGTAAGGCGGTACAGAGAATGATTTCTCTGGTGTGTTGGTGATATCACTCCTTAAATTATGTCTTTTCTGAAGTCTGCTGGACTCTTAATTCCTCCCTTACAGGAGGATGCCGTATGCAGAGGGTGTCTTAAATCCCTGAAGACCTTTTTGACCTTTTTGTCCTGCACTCCTTTTTCTCTGTAAGGAGGGCAGACTGGCTGCAAAGCGGTATTTGTGAAGAGTGTTTTGGTCTCAAACTTAGCCTCCTTTGCTCCCCCCAAGGTTTTATTCAAAGGCTACAGGATGCATTGCAAATTTGTCCTGTTTTCCTTTCCTGATCCCCTTTGGGCAGGCCTGAGGCTAGGTAGATGCTGGGATATTAAATGTGATATCCGCACAATAAAACACTTGCATTCTGGCTTTGAGTGTCAGATTTTCTTGTTTCTTTGTTGGATCTGGTTGGATTTGAATTACTTGTGTGGGATGTTGATCAGAGCGCCGGACAGAAAAGATTAATGTAGTTATATGGTTCATTTGATAATGGGATTAACTCATTAAACGTATTAGCTTTGTCTTGCAACATCTGTTGTCTACGTATAGTTCAAGTCTGCTGACTTCCCTTGCGATGCTGTTGTCCGGACAGATGACCGCGACCTGCATACGTGTTGCTTATGTTGCCCTTCCTTTCAGAGCTTCTGCAGTCCCATGGCGACATACCTAGAGTTCATTCAACAAAACGAGGAACGTGATGGAGTGCGTTTTAGTTGGAACGTATGGCCCTCCAGCAGGCTGGAGGCCACCAGGATGGTCGTCCCCCTGGCCTGTCTGCTGACTCCGCTGAAGGAACGTCTCGACCTGCCACCTGTGCAGTATGAACCGGTGCTTTGTAGCAGACCGACTTGCAAAGCAGTACTCAACCCACTCTGGTATGAATTTCTTAGCCGGGGGCATTAAGAGATGGATAGTATCTAGTTTTTAATCTAAACTTTACTACTTCCTCGTTCCCCTTTTACTCGGCCCAGTGCCTGGCAGCCTCTTTCGTTTAGGCGCAGTGATAATTGTTAAATCCTTGTGTGCTTAGTGAGGTGTGTTGAATGCCAGCCTGTTACTAGAGCTGCCAGAACCAGAGGAGAGAAGAAAGCCTTCAGAGAGACTGTTAAACCAGAGCTAACGTGGCAATGGCCAATCCCGCTCCCATCCCATTGTGGGAATTCGGTGGTGAATGATGAAACGAAGCAGAGACGCTGATTATACAGATACTGTCCTCTGGGCTGTGACACTGACTTGGTTTCCTGCTTCCTACACATCCTGCTGCTCACAGGTCCATTCCAATATGAGCATCAAGGTTTTCTTTGGCATTTTACTGAGAATTAGAGGGGAATGATCTCTGATCCAAAGCCACTTGATGATCATACGTAGTCGGAGCACACTGTGGGCTGAGGAATATCCGGGAAGGGAGCTGTTGCCAGTAAGAGGGACAGAAAGTAAGAAGAGATCAAGCCTGAGAAACAAGAACACGCATGTGTTTTACTACACTAGAGTTACAGCATGTCCCAGGGGGTGAGGAGAGTAAACTCTCTGGGGCAGGGAACAGCCTATTTGTCCTGTGTTTGAACAGGGTTTAGGTGGATGGCTCTTGCTCTGTGACTGGAGCACTTGTGTGCTACAGCTGTACAAATAATAAGACTACTGAGATAAGCCTGAGCATAGTAGAAGAATGACTAGATACCAGTCTTTGTCTGCCAGAGGCGAAGCTTCAGAGAGCTGTCAGTGATCCACTGGGGCGACGAGCTTGGAAACTGCTGGGCGGGATGAGCTAAGGGGACTTTCTGGCATTGGAGCGAGAGTCTGGATCCCTGGAACTGTGTCATTAAAAGTTTCTTCATCTGCGCTGTGAACCAGCATAGGTAACTGAGAAGCTGGACTGTAACGTTGTTGCTGTACTTGTGCTAAACATCTCTCCTCTTTCCCTTCTTGCAGCCAAGTTGACTATCGCGCCAAGCTCTGGGCTTGTAATTTCTGTTTTCAGAGAAACCAGGTAGGTTGAAAAAAGCTTCAGCCCTTTCATCGTCTTCCATAGCCAGCCTGTTTTCTTGTCAGTGAGCATTTTATTGCTGGCCTTCCCTGGAAAAGGATGTTAAGAGTAGCAGAAATCCCGCCTTTCTAGATTCCTTCTCTTGCTGAGCCCAGGCCAGAATTACTTGTTAATCAGGCTGCTTTACGTGATATCTTGTCTGTTTTCAGTTCACTTTTGCCAATGTTTTTGCCAGCATGCAGGGCACAGAAAGGAGATACAGCGCTGTTTTGTTTCACGTGTTTCCAATATGTTCTTTGCATATTATATGTTCTTGCCAAGTATGAATTTCATTAGATTGTAGTAGACTTTTGCCATCAGAAACTGTCACGTGGCCAAGCAAGTTTCAGCTAATGCGTAGCCACTGCTTTAGTTGTGCCTTTTAGTTATAGTGGACTGAGTAGCTGTCCATCCTGCTGGCTGTCTGTTCTTAGGGAAATAGCAGTACTGGACCCATGTTGTGGATTAGTCAAGTTGGTGCAATGACAGTAAACAAAGAGTTGAATAACCTTAACATAAGCGAGGCAACATCTGTAACGCAGAGGGGAGCCCTACGTTTCTATCGTGCAACTTCCTTGTCCTAATTTCTGGTTCTCTTTTTCAGTTTCCTCCAGCATATGCAGGCATATCTGAGCTCAATCAACCAGCAGAACTTATGCCTCAGTTTTCAACAATTGAATATATAGTACAGGTAAGTGAATCACAGGCAAGTTTGAAGCTCCCGGAAATGTCTTGTTTGTGACATCTGAGGTATGTTTTTGTTTCGCTTAAGATTTCCACAGCGTGCTTAAGACCAGACTCATTTTATTCCTTGTCTGGAGAGCATTATAAAGTGTCACTTAACATATGCGCATGCCCAGTAACTCCATCTCTTTCCACATTAGCGAGGTCCTCAGACACCGTTGATCTTCCTGTATGTTGTTGACACGTGCTTGGAAGAGGACGACTTACAGGCGCTGAAGGAGTCCCTGCAGATGTCCCTGAGTCTGCTGCCTGCTGACGCTCTGGTGGGGCTTATCACTTTTGGCAGAATGATCCAGGTTCACGAGCTGAGCTGTGAAGGGATTTCCAAGAGTTATGTGTTTAGGGGCACAAAGGACCTGACAGCTAAGCAGATACAGGTATGTTCTGCCATCTCTTAGGCCAGTGGCTTGTTCCTGTTAGCTCCATCGACACCACCGCTGGTCTTTCAAGCTTTGGGTTTGCAGGGAGGAAGGGTTCAGTGCTCTTGATTATTTGCTACTCTATTTCCCTCCCAACATCTGTCGTGTCTTTTTGTAAAAACTCCTTGAAAGCTTTCTCAAGATAGAGTTCATGTGATTCCTCACGCAATGGACCCATCGGTCCATTACCAAGGGGAATGCAAAGATTAATCATTCCGCAGATTTCAATGAATTTAATTCTGCAGTGTTGGGGACCTCAGGGTGTATTGCTTGACAGCAAATAATGGGTTTAGGATTTCAGTACTACATCTCCTCTGCCTCCTCTTTACTATTCCGTAGGATATGCTTGGGCTTTCAAGGCCAGCTGTCCCCATTCAACAGGGAAGACCTGTTCAACCCCAGGAACAACCTGTTATTTCAAGCAGGTAAGTGTGTTGGTTACACCAGCACAGCACAAGGGCAACTCAGGTGCTGTGTGCCCCTTTGGACCCACACTTCTAAACATAGGTTTCTTAAAACAAGTCTTTTTAAGAAGATTCAAATGGTACTGTCTCGTCAAAGTTATTTCTCTGCAAAAAATGCTACATTTTTACTAGAGCAGCAGGCAACACATTAGACTTCTGTAGCATCTTGGTCTTGCAGTTGCAAGAACACGGTTGCCATTCAGACTAGGTTTCTACCTGAAAAAATGTAGAGTAGCTGTCTTTGGAAAGCATCTTGCTTCGGGGTTGTATGCATTTGGAGCAAGGGTCTGTCTTTCAGTCTTTTTGATTGTCCAGCTGATGGAGGCTTGGTCTATGCATAACAATCCTAGGTGTGACCCCCCACCTCCTGCCCAGTTAAGTCCAAAACATGATTGGCAGGCAGGCAGTGATCCCTGAAGAATAAAGCCATATTTGCCTTTGTTGAATACAATTCTGTCTTTCTCATCCCTTCTTTTGCTGTGGCAGCTCTTGTGGATTTTGTTAAACTAAATCACCACTGAAGTCTTTTCCTATGCTTTATGTGACTTTGCCTTCTTGTCGGTTCCTGATGTCTTGCTTTGTTCAAATGGTTTGTGTTTCACAGGCTTGTTATCTTAGAAAGTTTGGATGTAAGATGGGAGCACTCCACATGACTCTCTGCTTCTGATAACTCTGTCCGTGCAATTTGTGTGTGCCAGGAACAAAAAGGCACCTTCTTTCCTCCTTGAACTGAAGAGGCTTGTGAACAGTAAAACATTGATTTTGAATTTTTGCAGGTTTCTGCAGCCAGTACATAAGATTGACATGAATTTAACAGATCTGCTTGGAGAACTGCAAAGGGACCCATGGCCAGTATCTCTTTCTATTGCTGTCGGCTTATTGGAGGTACTCTTAGCGCTGCTGTTTGTTTGAAATGAGCTGGTCAAAGTAAGCATTTTGCAGTCTTTGCTGAGACACATGCAGGTCACAGTCCAGCTTGGTCTGCGTCTCATTTATGTTGGGATGCAGAGGTATAATTTGTTTCCACTGACATTTGACATGAGTTAGCACCAGTTGGTGTAGAGCGAGCTGAAAATTTACATCTAAACGATGAAAGATGCAAGCATTTAAAGGTCTCTGATTTTTGTGTGCACTGCCAAATGCAGATGATGGATGAACCCAGTGCATACTAAGCGTCATCTAAGACATAAGGACAAAGGAGAACAGAGACTGCCTGCTTCCTGTTGTGAAGACATGAAGCCTGACCTAGCCTGGGTCTAAACTCGAGAGTGCTGTGCCTGTCGGGAAATGCACTGTTATTTATTGAGGTGGCCTCTAGCAGAGGCAGGTCCTTAATGATGTTACAGAAGTGCGCATCAGGCTCTTCTCTAAAGAAAAGCATTGTTGCTCTTTAATCAATCTCTCTCTCTCTCTCTCTCTAATACAAGGCCTTATTTTTATTTTAGGGCACCTTTCCAAACACAGGGGCCAGGATAATGTTGTTTACAGGTGGGCCACCGACACAAGGACCAGGCATGGTCGTAGGAGATGAACTGAAAACACCCATCCGTTCTTGGCATGACATAGAGAAGGACAACGCAAGGTTCATGAAGAAGGCCACCAAAGTAGGTGCTGATGTCTGCTGGGGGCAAAGGCACACGCAGTAGCTTGGGTTTGCTAGTGGGCGTGACATAGTCTGCTTAAAGGCAAAACTGAATGTTGTGGAAGTCAGAACACTAAGCGGGGGGATAGGGAGTGACACAAACCTGTGTACACTGCTATGTAGACAGCTGCCCAAACCTTCTCTAGGGAATAAATACGTCCTGCTCTCTTGATATGCAAGCGGTATATCAGACACGTATGGGTGTCCATGAAGAGTGTGTTAATGCCTTTCTGTGCATTAAGGTGTGACAACGGTCCTCAAAGAAAGGGTAAAACAGAATTCCTGCTAGTTACTTCTCCAGGAGTCTTGTGTCTTCTGAGAGAATGAGGTACTTCAGTGTAGTTTCTCAGTGTCTATCTGATGGTGAGTGGACAGTTTGTTCATCAACGTTGTTGTATCTCCTTCTGGAGTTGGGGGGAAATTGCCTATCTGCCAAGAACTGGTCGCTTCACAAAAGCTTCCCTATGGCAGAATACTTAAAACAGTTAAAATGGCAGGCATGAAATGTGCCTGGCAGCTTAGAGAAAGCAATACAACACCTGTCCTCTTAACTAGCACCTAGAAACCTCTGGGTTCCCCATAAGTTATCACAGGCAAAGAGCCCACACTTGGTTGAGGATAGCAGTTCATGTCCTCTCTGTATTTGTGACTTGCAACTCAAGCTCATGCAAATGCAAACATTGCAGGAGGGAGAATCATACTCCAGTGGACAGCTGGTCGCCTATTACAGCACTGGTAGTCGCTTTATTTGTGGCTTGTGACTCATGTGCTGGCCTCATTTGGAGAGCAGAAGAAAAAGTGCCCATCACAGTGTCCTAAACCCCATGTATGTTGTCTGTTTTCCCTAGCACTATGAGACTTTGGCTAATCGCACGGCTGCCAACGGTCATTGCATTGACATCTATGCCTGCGCCCTGGATCAGACCGGCCTGCTGGAGATGAAGTGTTGTGCAAACCTCACTGGGTAGGTTTTGCAGCAGGGAAGCACAAATGCACCTGTATTCTTCAGAGGCGGGGTAACTGTTCAGAAAACAGTTAATTTGCTATTAGGGCAAAAGGGTGCATTTTTGGTCATTTTGTTCTAAACCGTGGTTTGAATTTGCCAGGAAGTATATGACAAACCTCCCCTGACTCCAGTCCACATTTCTGAAGTCTCAAAACAGCATGTGAATTAACACTGCTGGTAAAAAAACTCGATGTTCTGCTTTGAGAAAGGTATTCTAAAGCATGGTGCAGCTTGTCTTCTGCAAATACTTTCTGTCTTCTCGGGAGGTAGCAAATATCCTTTCCAGAGGAGATGCGATATAGAAGCCACGCTCTGTGGCGTGTGCATGACCAAAGGGCGATCACAAGACAAGAGCTTCAGGCACGGTTATTAGAAACTTCCTTTGTGTGGGCCAGAATGGATTTTCTATGCTTAACAGCTCGCTTGTGCTTCCTCCAGGGATTCTTGACCTCCCTGTTTTACGTAACAGCTGTATGGGCCAAGTGTCCGTGTTGCATACTGATGGAAACCTTATAATCTCTGTGAAAAAGGCTGTGTGCTAAACCGGGCCTTGTAGGGACTCACCATGTCTTAATTGGACGTTTGAAGTCTGCTCGCTCTAGGGAGCCAAAAGATGGTTTGGGCAAACGCAAGGTATTTGTAAAGAATCACTTTTCTGCTCAGTATGTGGAAGAGAGATTGTTTGACCCTTTGGCTGTGTTACTAAGTCTTATGCAGTCAGACCTGGGTTTATCAAAGGAACTGGGAACGCCACTACATCTTTTGTTAACGGAGCAAAGACGCATGCACCAGGCTTTGTGATGCGGCTGTGCAGCCATCCCGTTTGCAGTGTGGGTGGCTCCAGCCCTGCCCCCAGCCCTTCTCGGGGGAAGCAGGCTGAGCAGAGCTCTTTCCTAGGTTGGGAATTTTGTAACCAGTGGAACATTATCTTGTTTAAGGCAACTAAAGGGCTGCCGGAAAAAAAGGGAGTTGAGAAAACAAGCTGGCAAAGATGGAGCATTAACTTGTCTGGCTTTGGAGGCATGCATGAATCTTCATCGCCTGATGCAGACTCCGCCTAGACAAAGACATGTTTAAAAGCAGTTTCTGCCTGTGTTTGCATGCATAAGAGTTGGAGGGAATGTATCCTTTGTGATTTATTTCTGGTTCCTAGTTGTTTCAGTTCCCTTGGGTATCTGCTTTTCCTTCCTAGAGGTCACATGGTGATGGGAGACTCCTTCAACACCTCTCTCTTCAAGCAGACCTTCCAGCGAGTGTTTAACAAAGGGTTCAATGGGGAATTTCAGATGGCTTTTGGTGCAAGTTTGGAAGTGAAGGTGAGAGATTAATCTCATTGGATGACATTAACTGGGAAATGCAAGTGCTGTTAACTGGAGAGTTGCTTAAGTGTTTGGGTTGTAGCAAATTCTACACTTTTGAGCTGAGCTTTAGCGCGTACTTTGGAAGAAGCTGCAGGCTGGATTGAGTGGAGGGATTTTTGTTTGAAAGTTGATTAAATTTGTGTTTAAAAAAAAAAAAAAAAGCTTGAGCTGTGCCTCTCCTCACCCTGCAAGGAACATTTCACATTCTGTAGTGATGACTATGGATATCTCTTCATTATTAAAATGTGACTACGTTGATTCTCTTACCTTCAGCAACTGTAGCAATAAGTGACTCTGAAGAGTACTCAGAGCTCCTTTCCCTGACAGCCACATGTATGCCCTTTCTGATTAAAGTTGAGCAGCTGATTTATCCTCTGTGTGTTCTATTTGACTAACCTGATTTTTTTTAAAATTGTTTTGACCCTGTTCTAGACTTCTAGGGAGCTGAAAATTGCAGGAGCTATTGGACCATGCATATCCCTGAATGCTAAAGGGCTATGTGTCTCTGAAAATGTAAGTTTATAATGGAATGTGGTATAACTGTTATTAAAGAAGTAAATAAACAGTGCAAAGTTTGTATCTAGACCTACAGCTCAGCTGGAATGTCAGATTTTTCAAGAAGAGCAATTTGGAAACATCCCTAAGAAATACAGTCTCTTCTAGACTAAATCCTTGCCCCATAAAGCCTCATTTTAACTGTTTGTCATCTCAGTAACTTAATTCACTTCCAGAAGATAGAAATCCAGAAGGTCTTCCATGACATGAGTTTGGGTGAATGAGCACTGGCACAGGTTGCCCAGAGAGGTTGTGGAGCCTCCTTCTCTGGAGATCTTCAAAACCCGCCTGGACGCGATCCTGTGCAATCCAGGTGACCCTGCTTGAGCAGGGGGGTTGGACTAGATGATCTCCAGAGCTCCCTTCCAACCTTGGCCATTCTGCCATTCTGTGACTTGTACCTCTGTAACATAAGCTTGTGTTACCCACTGCTACAGGTAAAAATGCTACTTTCTGTTCAATTCTGTGCAGGAGCTCGGAATTGGAGGAACATCTCAATGGAAAATTTGCAGCCTAGATCCAAGCACAACTCTGGCCATTTACTTTGAAGTGGTAAATCAGGTTGGTCCTGGCTTTTCTTTCTTTGGTCTTAACTTTTTATACACCAAAATATTTGTTTGAAATTGGGCCAGCAAATGCAGTGACTTCCCTTGGGTTACAGATGGACAGTTGCAAAGTAATCGAGCGTTTTGTGTCAAAGAAGCATTCTCAGTTTGTTTTCATAGGCGTAAATTGCCTAATAATTTTATTTTGTATAAACCTGCATTCTTTCTTCCTGTCTTCTTCCTGTGGTATTTATATCACAAAGAAGAAATTGTCTTTATGGAATTCATTGCTATTAGGTGCTGTGGAGAATAAAAGTATAAAAGCCTTCAAATTCCTGGAGGACTTCTCCTCCAGCTCGCTAGTATGTGATGATTCAGAAGCAACTTCTGGCTGGGGAAGTTTCCGAGCATGTGGCAGCTAGAAGCTAGGAGGGTTGTCCCAAAGGAATTCCATTCTATGGGCCTCTTTTTTTTTGTCTGCTCTGCCATGGGAGTTTGCTACTGTTGGGAATAAGATGCCGGACTCAAAGGACCTTTTCTCAGAACTCATACGGTCATTCTTAACGTTCCGTGCTGTAAAGATGATAAGTTGCCGCCATCCTGTAAGGGACCAGCTGATGAAGGGTCAGCTACAATACTAAATGGGCCCAGCACCACTTGACTTTGAGGGCTGCTGGAAAGCGCAACACTAGCAGACACCTCTCTCTTCTCTGATCCATCTCAAGCTTGTACTTATTCTATGACTGCTTGAATGATGCCCTGGAATTGTCTCTGTAGTGCACAGAGCTATGGAGAAGCCAGCCTGTTTTGAAGGCTTGCCTTGTTTCATTTGCAGCACAACGCACCAATTCCTCAGGGAGGCAGAGGGGCAGTTCAGTTTGTCACTCAGTACCAACACTCCAGTACGCAGAAACGCATTCGAGTCACCACCATAGCCAGAAAGTGAGTATTTCATGCCAGTTCTTTGGCAGACTAGCAGAAACTCTAGCCACAGTCTGTGCTGGAATTTTTCAAGCCTTTTGTTGCATGTATCGGCTGCAGAGTATTTGGCACAAGGGGGATGAATCTGGTGTGGGTTTTGCTGAAGATGAATGCACACAGCACTAACCCTTTACTCACCCTTTAAGTTGGGCAGATGCGCAGAGTCAACTCCAGCATATCGAAGCTGCATTTGACCAGGAAGCAGCTGCTGTGCTGATGGCACGGCTAGGAGTGTACAGAGCTGAATCCGAGGAGGGACCCGATGTACTGCGGTGGCTTGACAGACAGCTGATCAGACTGGTAAGACTGATGGACTGCAGTTGAATGCGTTCTTGATTTTAATAAAAATGGTCTTTGGAAATTAAAAGGTCCTTTTTTTGCCCGAGCGACTCACTTCCTTTGTGCTGTGATCAGGGCCCCATAGTTGTAATATGTGATGACTCGGAAGCCAGTATGATCAGTGTATTTGTGATGGGGTGGGTAAGCATCCCATCATGCTGAAAGGGTTAAGCCTGAGGGTAAAGCAGTTGGGTGGGGACCTCTGGAAGTTTCTGGTTTAATCCCCTGCTCAAAGCAGGGCCAGCTTCAGAGTTAGAGGAGGATGCTCCAGGCGTTGTTCAAGTGAGCTTTGAAGATCTCCAGGGATGGAGATTCCCTTGCTTCTCTTGACAACCAGTGTTTGACCAGTTCCAGTGTTTGACCACCGTCACTGTGAAATTTTTTTTCCTCTTATTTTCAGTCAGAACTTCCCTTTCTCCAGCTACCCGTGAGGTAGCTGTAGGCAGCAGTATGATCTGCCAATCCTACTCTTCTCCAAGCTGTGTAAACCCAGCTTCCTCAGCCTCTCCTACATTGCATGCTCCAGCTTCTGACCAGCTTGGTGGCCCCTGCTAGACTTGTTCCAGTACGCCAGTGTCTGTCCTGTACTGGGGAGCTCCAAGCTGGACATAGCGTTCAGATGTGGTCTCACCTGTGCCAAGTTCAGGGGAGTAGTTGCTTCCCAGCTCGTGGTAGTATTCCACAACTCCCTAGTTTCTCTTTCTTCAGCTTTCACAGGCCTGAACTGCCTAAACACACTCTGGCTTTGTCTGAACAACCATGTGGAGTTGATACTAACAGTTACGGCACATCAGACCCCGAAAAAAGCAGGGCCAGTGTGAAATAGAGATTCAGCTACCAAAACACACAATGACATATTGCACGCGGAAATGATTATGGAGCCATTTATAGCTAAAACTATTGATGCTGCTTATTTTCAGTGAAGCAGCTGCTGAAATTCCAGTCTGCTGCTGCTCTAGGAGGAAATAGAGTTGCTGCAGAAGTGTTTCATAATGTGCAAAGCACCTTAGGTATAAGGTAGTATCCCTGATTTAGTGAAAAAAATGAGTATTAGTAGCCCTATTTCTTTCATTCTTAGATAATTTTGAGTCTAGATTTTATATATTAAATAAGATAAAGAGATCCATTCATCATTTTCATTCCAGTAAGATACAAAAGTCACTGACTTAAATAAGAATAGCCTGTACATTGTATATTACTTGCTATTGTCCCTTTCCCATCTTGGTTACTCTGTTTAAAAACAAAAAAAAAAACTTCCAAAAAATGTTCATTCTAAAAAGGAGCTCACCGGAACATCCATATTGCCTCCAACAGTGTCAGAAGTTTGGACAGTACAACAAAGATGATCCCAACTCCTTCAGACTGTCAGAATCATTTTCTTTGTATCCCCAGGTAAGAACTGCACGTTCTGCAGATATGGGAAAAGTGTGCAAGGACGGGAGTGAGGATAAAGCATCTTGTTCCGTTTATCAGTTTCATGAGGGGAGGAACAGATGCTTTTTAAATTTGGCGAGCTAGTTCTGCAGTTCCGTGTTGCAAATGATGGTAAGGAAAGACTTTTGAGGAGTTAATAAGGAAGAGACTTTTTGGAGGAATTTGTTTGGAAAGATTGGACTTTGGTGGAGAAGGATATACTGATTGGACTTTGGAGAAGAATATACTGATATTTCTCTTCTCTCTCATCTTTGTGATGCAGTTCATGTTCCATTTGCGACGCTCCCCATTCCTGCAGGTCTTCAATAACAGCCCAGATGAATCATCTTATTACCGTCACCACTTTGCTAGGCAAGATCTGACACAGTCTCTCATTATGATCCAGCCCATCCTTTATGCTTATTCTTTCTATGGACCGCCTGAGGTGAGTCCCTGTTTAACAAAAAATGGTGGAATGATCCAAAATAATGAGTATTCAGTCAAAATAACACTATTTCATCAAAAAGGTCCTTTTTTTTTTTAAATCGGGGTACTTTTTGAAGGATGAGATGGGGTAGTGTAAATATATAAACTGTGATTTCAGTAACGTTACAGCTTTGATTAAAAAAAAAAAAAAAGGTGAATCCTGCAGTCGTCAATTGTGCTCTCGCTTCTCTGTCAGAGGCTGCCATCTCCACTGCCGTAAGTCAGCAAGCTTCAGCCCTTCAAGGTCAGAATCTCCCACCAGCTCTTTGTTTTCAGTTGTTTATGCAGCAATGTTAAACTATGCGCGAGTAGTCGACGGTCAGACACCGCTTGCCTTATACCAGCAGCATCCTTGGAAGGAGAGCGTTTGGCAGGAAAGAGATGCAGAAGCTACTGGAGTAACACTCTGAGTTCATGTATCAGGTTCCTTCTCAGTCTTGAGCGACTCATGATCATCTCAGATTAAACTTGGACAGTAAAGGAAATTGCTTGCTCACATACTGCATTGCATACAACAGCTAATAACCTGCTGTTCTGTTCAGTGCGGCCACGGGAGGCTGACCGCGCTCTGCAAGGCGTTCACACAGCCTGATAAGCTGTCGTGGAGTCCCCTCTAACCCGGCAAGGCAGAGCAATCTGCTCAGCCCAGCATGAAGGTTAATACAGTTGTGAGGGCTTAGCAGTGACTGACCTCCTTGTTTATTTCCCCCAGCCAGTGCTTTTGGACAGCAGCAGTATTCTTCCAGACAGAATCCTCCTGATGGATACGTTCTTCCAGATAGTTATCTACCTTGGTGAGGTACAGTGAAATATGTACTCTTTCTCTGCGCGCCCTCCCTCCTGCCATGCATGTGCACAACGTCTTTGTTTATATAAAATCAGCTGCTTGTGAAGACAGTGCTAGCCTACGCTGTTGACAGCTGCTCCTATATTCCTTCCACTGTGACCTCGAGGTTTAGACCAACATCCAAAGCCTTGGCTTTCCAGTGCCTCGTCGTCATGAAGACCTGTAGGTCTATATTTCAGTCCTGTCAGGTTTTGTAACAGAGCGGTAATGTACTATAGCTGGATAATAGAAGTGTCTCACACCCTAAAGAAGTTAATGGGGAAGGGGATGAAGCTCGCTTTCCTCTTCTTTCCCTGGGAATCTTCCTTTTCTTTGCCTCGTTCCCTCATATCCATTTTAGTCCTATTTGGGGAGCAGCCCTCATTCAGTTTCAGCAAACTAAATAAAATCTCTTCTACTTAAACACTGGCATCAAATTGGAGTAGTTTAAATAAACCCATCTTGGTTTATGATCAAATATTTCTATTAGTGAAAACTTTTTTGGGGAGGTGTTTTAACTCTTCCCTTTGTTTTTGAACTAGGCTTCTTTAGTGCTTATATTTAATGACTGTTACTACTATATTTATGGTTTGGCATGACAGTTTGCAGCAGCTCCGTTACTGTCTTCCTACTTCCCTCCAAATGGGATTTGTTCTCTTTTCTGAGAAGCAAGCAGGCATACCCGATTGACATGAACAGGAGTTGAAAGCTTGAGTCAACAATGACAAAATATCTTCCAAAGTTACCTTAAACAGTCTTTACCTACCTAAACTGTTGCAATTGAAGACATTCAGCTATTGGGTAACATTAGACTAAGAAGGGGCTAAGTGTCTGATCTGCAGATGTATAGCCCAATTATCAGCTACATGGTTACCTTGAAAATACTATAAAGCAATGGCTACTACCATTCAAGAGCAAGTCAAAATCAAAACATCAGTGCTTTATAAATGCTTTGTGTTTCTGTGTTGGTACAGGTTGAAACACAATGTCTTTGAAGTTCATTTTCAACACATTGCTCTTGCAATGCAGAAACTGGTACCAGCTTTTGTGTTAGTGCCTGCTTTTAATTTAAATTCAGGAACAGCAAATAAAAAAGCAAGCTTTCACTCTTTTGGCGAGTAGTGAAAGCATGTATTTGTCCAACGCTCTGTAAGCAGAAACACGTGTAATGTTCTGCTGCCTTAAAGACACGCGAGTTAAAAGAGGGAGGCTTGCAGAGAGGATCTCTACTAGTTTTTATTTCGTCCTTTTCCTGTTAATAGACTATTGCACAGTGGCAGAAAGCTGGTTACCAAGACATGCCTGAATATGAAAACTTCAAGCACTTACTGCAAGCCCCGCTGGATGATGCCCAGGAAATCTTGCAGACTAGATTCCCAATGCCACGTTACATCAACACTGAGCACGGGGGCAGTCAGGTAAGGAGCTTTATCCAAGAGCTCTTACTGCTACTGAATAGCGCAAATCCTGTCTTTTCTGCTTTTCTGAAAGGATGATTCGGTAAGTTAAATACAGCAGTAATTTGGCCGTCTAAAGTGTAGGGCTTACATCTTTTCTCATGAGCTCTTACTGCAAACGTATGTCTTTTAATAAGCCAGTTGCTCATTGGACATGCTTTTGAAATGTGAGGATGCAAAAAACCCAAAATAGCCAGCTTACTTATCTTTTATCCCCAATAGAGGCGGGGAAAGAAATGATTTGGCTAAGTATCAAAACCTACTCAAGATAGGGAGCACAGTCAGTTTGCTGGGACGGTAGTTACACTGAATGATTGAGCGTCTGTTCCTTTATTCTCGGATACTGAATGAGGATATAAAATAGTTCCTATTTTGGTTCTTCCTGGAATTACAGTTGTTCAGTACTTCTCTGTGACTGGCTCTTTTCTTTTTGTAGCAGTGAAGAGGTGAGCATTTGTGCTCCACAAGAAAAATTTGGTATTAAATTTCTGGTGTGAGCACGTTACGCTGGTTCTCCGCAGAACTCTGTTCCCAAGAGCAGCCGGGGGGCATGTGAGGGACAGTGCTGGTGACATGCCCTGCCAGACGAGCACCTCTTGCTGTGGCAGAGCAGCCCTTGCCACAGGGAGAGACCTGCAGGAGAACGTTTTTGCTTTCCAAGTGGAGTTGCCCACTGGCACTGCCTTGTGGTAAACTAACTCCAAATTGCAGCAGGGCAGGAAACACAACCGGCATGAACTCCTGCACTCGTTCTGAGAGGACGGGAAGATGCCGAAGTGTTTAACTTGACTTTCCCCTTTCCCTCCCCCAAGGATTCCTCCCCAACCTTTTTCTGTTACAAGGTTCCAGAACTTTGTTTCTTTCAAAACAATTTGTAAAATTGCAAGGTATTTTTGCAGTATTGTTTTCTCTGCCCTTTGGGAGTCACAGCTGGGCTATAACATCCCTTTTTTATCCTCACAAAACAGCTACCAGTTAAAGTCAGCAGATTCCTGCTCTAAATCCAGTAAAATAATCTGTAGAGCAGGGCTGTTTCTTCTTAACAAAGGCAGTGGGGAAGGAGGAGGCCGGGGGCTATGAAGCTGTGCATACCAGATGAGGAAGCATGTCGTGAGGCGGGATACAGCTGTCGTTAGTGTCTTATCTCAGATAAATCTGTGCCTGTTTATCCACGTGTTCCTTGCATCTATGGGACTAAGGTGCTGTTTCACTTTCTTCTCTCCATCTTCCTTTCCTGCGCTCCATGTAAGCATTGATAAATAACAAGTCTGACAGGTAGCGCTTGTTAACAGTGACCAAACTGTAGTCAAACGGGAGGTATGTGCTGAGCACAAGATCATGGCATTCATTGTGTGTTTACCATAGTTAACATCAGAGTACTTGCACTTGAACTTGAAACCTATTCACATTAAACTAGAACCTGGCTGGAAAAGGAGAGGAACGTGGCTAGTCATGTATCTGAGATGACAGGAGGTCTTGAGGGAGCTGACAGGTCTATCATTTTACAAAAATACCTCTCTGTAATGTTTTGTTTTAATAGGCCCGGTTCCTCTTGTCTAAAGTGAACCCTTCTCAGACCCACAACAACCTCTATGCGTGGGGACAGGTAAGCAATGGAAGAGCTGCTCATGTACGAGAATGCTGGAAAATGCACATTGTACATACGTGTCTGCATATTAGCCCTTCTGTTTCATCACGTGGTATTAGGCCATTAACAATGAGCTGGTTAGGTTCGTGCTGGTACTCCGACCCAAGAGCTTTTTGCAGACATGCATGGCTGGATTTGAAAATCACAGAATAGTTGGGGTCGGAAGGGACCTCTGGAGATCATGTGGTCCAACCCCTCTGCTCAGGCAGGGTCAGCCAGAGCAGGTTCCCCAGGCCCACATCCAGTTAGGTGTTGAATATCTTGCAATGGTTTGTGGCGCAAGGAAACAAAATTATTCTATGTAATAAAGAATATGATGGAATTGCTGGCTGAGACTATAATAGTTGTAGCAGTTAAGAGGACACAACTGACTGACAAGATTTTTGTCTGAAGCTTACGCAGAATAGGGTTTTTTTTTCAACCTGATTATTCAAATCCACAGTTATTGACAAGGTAAACAGTATTGGTGGGCAGCACTCGATGACTAGAAGATGTTGAGAATAAAGTTTTCAAGCCTGCAGGAATAAACTCATGTTCCTGTTATTGTAATGAACCCTCCAAAATTTTCAGCAAGATCCAGCTGACAGGCTGAAAGCTTGTTCTGCTGCCTTTTGGGCTTTTCCTCAGCATCTTGACCGTGCCAGGAGATGAGTGGTCTTCACTGGCAGTGGTTCACCTCTTTGTTCTCCCTTCTCGTATCCCACTACCCGTGCTGGGTGCGGGCACACCAGGAGGATATACTTGGTGTCCGCTGCTGAAGGAAGTGGATGGGTTGACACAGGCCATGGAAAGGAGCTAAATCCAAGACGGGCTCTGAAGCGGTTGCTCCTGCAAGCTTTGTTGATAAAAATAACCTAATGGATCTGAATGCCAAAAGCTGTAATTAACTTTTGCTAGGAGTTGCAGGTCCTCTGCATCTGGAAAGGCGGGCTAATTTGATTTAGAATATGCCCTTGCTGTTTTAGATGACTGGATGTAGAAATTTTATCCTCACTATTTTCTATACCTCTGGTCTAAAACTCTTAGGTCACAATTAATGTATGTAGTATTCTGGAAAAAATAACTAGTGTATAAGTACATACAGATACAGTTTATCTGAGAATACTAGTCTTTTATGTCCTCTTTCTTGATCTTGTTTGCGTAAAGCTCTGGGCAGAAAAAGATCCTAATGCTTTAGAAAGAAGAGATTTTTTTTCCCCTCCCAGTGCTGCAGATGGCATGGAAGGGTATTGTCAGGAGCGTTGTCAAAGAGCGGCGCCTTTCCACTAGCTCTGCCCTTTGCGACAGGGAAGGAAACGCGACTGATTTAGCAGGCAGTTAGCTCAGAGTGCTGACATCTGATTTGCCTAAGCTGGTTCCCAGTGCGAACAGTATTATTTTGGGCTCGCTATGTCTTTATTTTCCTGCAGGAATCGGGAGCTCCAATCTTAACGGATGATGTTAGTCTCCAGGTATTCATGGACCACCTGAAAAAGCTGGCCGTTTCAAGCGCATCCTAACTTTGATCTAAGCAAGCAGCAAGAGCAGAAGAGTTACGCTGATCATGTCGACGATGGAAGCGGAGCAGCTTATTGCATTCCCTTCTCTTTTAGACTAAGACTTTTAAATACTACATGAAATAAATATTAACGGAGAGTTTTGTACTTGGCCCCTCTAGCGATTAATTTATTTCTATTCCTTTTGGTCCCTCTTCTGTTTAATCCACGTTGTTTTTTCCAAACATTGTAATCAGAGCTGAAGGATGGTTTAGCTAATACAGATCGGAAGCCTTGAGCCTGTTTTTACATGTCTTGTGTTCTTAAGACGCTCCTTTCAGCGCCTCTCTTGGAAAGCAGGGGCTGCAGGAATGGAAAATAAAAGTGGGTAAGAGCATGAAGGCTTAGTAGTGTTCCAAGGGCGGCTGTGGGAGCGCTGGACATGGCAAACCTCCCTCGCCTTTCCGGAGAGGCGACGAG